ATGAACGGCTGGCAGGAAAGTTGACATTTTAAACCTTAATAAAAAAATCGATACAGGGTTTAGAATATCGATACAGTATCGGGAAATGAAATATCACGATATTTCAGTGTATCGATATTTTCTTACACCCCTACTCAGAACTAGATCTGGAGTTGTATGGTTCCATTCTCTTCACATTTTAATCTATTTAACATTCATGTGGTTTCGTCACGATTTCAGTTAACGAACACGAAATATTCTTACAGATCAATAGATCAGGGATTCGTTTTACTGGTTTGTTTACATTCCAACCTTCACCCATGGTCATGACGTTTGGATCAAGATAAAAAAACAACAACAAAAAAAAACGTAGCAAAAATTAGCTTCCTTTTTAGAGTGGCTGGGCTCAGTCTTAAAGTTTGTGTGATGAGCTCAGTCATCTGGAGGTAGCTCTAAGTAGATCCACTTGTCATCAGTATCCAAAAAAAAGTCAGTTGTGGTACGTCAGGCATCTGATTAGGACGGCTCTAGGTCTTCCGGGCACATCCCACTGGGTGGAGACCCCAGGGCAGATCCAAAATCATTGGAAGGTTCATGTTTTCTGATTGGCTTGGGAAAACCTTGGGATCTCCCAGGAGGAGCTGGAGAGAACCACTGGAAAGGAATGTCTGGGTTTCAGTCCTGGACCTGTTACCTTCGTGACCAGATCCCAAATAAGCAGCAGAAAATGACAACATTTAAAGGAAGAGCCAGTCATGCAGTTTATCTTGCATGATAAACAGAGAGGTTTATAACCAAACAAGCTCTGTGCAAATTTATTACTCTAGAGTGATGCCTTCCAAAAGTATTAACGATTTGCATAATCGTGTTTCAATTTACATGAGAAACCTGAAGTTAGCTGCTGCGTGGATAGAAACTTTCATTCTCCACTCTGCCATCACTGTTGAGCAAAAGGTAACCAGCTCTGTGCTTAAGCTTCAAAAAGAAGCACTGAGGAAATGTAGAGAGCAAATGCTTTCGGTGTAATCATAGATCCAAACTAATGCTTCCAGGTTCTAGTACCACGGACGGACCGAGTGGATTGTTTCCAACGTTCTGTCGACGTAAATGTATGGGAATTACTGTGGTGGCAGCTGCAGGCCCAGAAGAGGAGGAGATAAGCCTCCACTGATTGGATCAGAGAATATGAGCTGGTCTGGGCCGGTCGATGTGTTCACAGCTAGCATACATGCAGCCTCAAAGATAGTCTATTCGGCTGGATGAGGGGGCAGGAAATTCTCGTACTTTCTGCTATGGCTGCATCAGTTACATATAAAGGTCAGAACAACCCCGCTGAGCCACATTATTTCCACCAGAGTCACTGCTTTAAAAACAGTTCGTAGAGAAAAAATAAAAATAACGCCACCTCAGTCACCTTTCTCAGCCAGTTACAGGTCTCTAGTGGAGTTCTACCAAGCATGAAAAATTAATTCTGATGTCAATGACATCATCTACGTAAAGGTTTACAAGTGTATTGTGCCCACAAGGGGACATGACAGACCCAGCGGTATTGGCCCAAGGATTTCTCAGCCTCTGGTGCTCTTTGAAGCACCTTTTAAAAACAAAGAAAGGCTGGTACCCAGGCACTATTACAGCTAAATATAGAGGATGCTAATCCTTATGATTCAGCAGGCAGCTCATCTGTATCACTACATTTTTTAAGTTCAGCCAGCTGCGATACTTCAGTCTAGTGTTTGGTTACTGTTAACCTCAGCTGTTGCAGAATGATTAATGTTAATGTAACTTTAGTTAGTACTGTAGATCTGTATCTTTTTCAGAAGAAGATATCATTATACAGGTGACAACAGCAGATGACAGCATGACAAAACAGGGTTAGATGGTTGAGGTGGGAACTCTGGATCAAACCGACAGCCTGAGCTAAAAAAAAAAAAAAGCACCTGACACATGAGTTTCAACAAAGCGTTAAAACAGCTGGCAATAATTGTTCAATTATATGTTATCTAACATATTTTTGGACTATATGGATTAAAGAAAAGAAAGCAAATCACAGGTAATTAAACAAATACAAAAAAATTATAAAAAAGAAACTGTCAACTCGTCCATCTGAAATTCTCCGAGCACCTAACTGCTCTGACATAATCAACACTCTAACACTCGGTACAGGTGATGATAGGGTTATTTTCAAACTCTTCTGTGAAGGGGGAGGGTGGGTGGAGAGGTTATATTCAGTCTGAGTTTTCTGGATACATCTTGACTTGATTTCTAAAAACTTCTAAGACGTTTGTGCATGTCAAAACTCAACTGTTGTGATTATTTACTAAGTTGCTGAACAAGTATTATTGCAAATCACAAATACATTGTCGCACACCACTTAAACCAGCATTATAAAGAAGAACTAAAGATTTTAATTTGGACTCTGAAGTCGTCACTTATCAGCTTTACTTACAGCAAATTCTCATCAAACTAGAGAAGTGTAGTAGTGCTCTATCAGGACTTTGTCTGATATTTATATTCCAGCAAGGAACTACAATTATTAGAGTTTTTTTTAACTATCATTATTTGACATTTCCAACACAATAAGCAGCTCAGTTTGTCATCAAAAACATTTAAGTTGCTGGCAAAAGTCATTGTGAGTGTGATTACCTGAATGTAGGCATTCCCAGCATTAATGTGTTGCTTTAAATATTAGTGGACATAATGTTTTGGTTGAATGAGCAGAGTTCCTTGGTTCTGCTCCTCAGAGCCCACTGTCCTGCATGTTCCAGATGTCTTCCTAATTAAACCCACCTGACCGAACGACTGCTTTACTTCCCCATCATGTCATCAAGTTCTGCAGAAGCCCGTTAATGAGCCGTTCATTTACACCAGGTGCTGAAGCAGGGAAGCATCTAAATCACGCAGGAGAGTGAACCCCGAGGACAAGGGATGATATGACTTTACATAATGTTTTTCAAGCAAGACGTGAGTCTCAGCAGCTGAATGGACTTTAATGCTCCCACTTCTCTTCTACATTTTAAAAACTTAAAATACATGCAATCTCATAAAATTAAAGGGGCAATGTCATGTAAAATCAACTTTTTTGAGTTTTATATCATGTTATAATGTTATACTCTCATAAAAAGCATGTCCAAAGCCTTGCTTTGACTCATTCATGCATGTTTGAGAAATCCTGCAGTGTTTTTAGGAAGCCATGCTGAGGAGCAAAACGACAGGTGGGGACCAGAAACTCCTTTTGGTACCAGAAACGCCTCTGGGATGTGTCTTTAAGCCAAACTTCCTCCTGCAGGCTCTCGGGTGAAACTGAAAGTGAAACTTAAACTGTCTGCAGAGCTCCTAACATTAGTTCTCACTCAGTGAAGCTCTTCAGATTCAAAAGATGCCAAGTAAACTGCATCATTGCAGGCCCCCCCACCCACGCGAGCGCAAACCCCCCGCACCGAAATGGGTGAGACAGAAGCAGAAGGAACTTCTTAAAGAGACAGAGGCCAGTTTCAAGGCGTTTAGAAGAGGAAGTGATGAGAAAAGTTGATTTTCTATTTAAACATAAAAACAGGATTTTAATAACAACTAAAGGTGACATAGATACTTTATTATGGTATAGTATTTAAATATATGCCTGAGAAACACATAATATTGCCCCTTTAATAAATTAGGCTAACAATTTATAAAAGTTCTTTCTATAATCAGTTATAATGTCTTTACCTTCAGTATTTGATGTCTACAACAAATGCTGAACTAGAGTTATATAAGAAAGTGAAAAAGAACTTAATCTATGTTGTAGCAGCTGTTATGCTTAATAAAAGTAAATAAATAAAATGTGTAAACGATGCTTCTCTACAGACGCAAACATTTGAAGTTATCTAAATAAGGTGGGCTAATGTGTTAAAGTACCAACATTGTGTTCATACAGAGAGGTAGACCTGTACTGTCTGTAAAGCAGCCTGACATGCAGTACCGACCTGGAGCCTCTTCATGGTCTGCGAGTCCTGGTCAGCCTTGACCTTGCAGGCCACCAACAGCTGAGCAGTGGAGGCCGCGACCTGCTTGGCTGATGAGATGAGCTTCTCCTCGCTGGCGTGTCCCTGCACTGCAGAGTTGGCAGCCTCACACAGATTATTGGTAGCTGCTGCAACCATCCGAGCCTAAGCCGTCAAGATTACCAGAGGTCAAACACCTCAGTAACAACACTACAGTCATTCTTAAATTAAAACTTAAATTAAAACAATAACTTACAGCAGAAATCAGGCCCTGAGACCACTGTCCATCATCCACTGCATTGGCTGGGATTGCTCCAACCTGAAACACAGCACAGCTTTGGCTTTGACTCAAACACGGTTAAAAACCAAAACAACTTGACTTCCATCTAAATAATGCTTTTTTGAAAGCACCATGTCCTGAATGACTGAGAATCTACACCCATGGTGGCTTTGATATGGCTTTCTTTTAAGGGTTGTGCCTCCTCGTGATGTCTTCATGATGATGATCCTTGCTCTGTGCAGGGTCTGTGGCTGCTTGACCCAGAGCACCTGTTCTCCTATGTTTGTTATGTTCTGTCTTCTTCTGAACGGTTGTTCTGAACTGCAATTTCATTGTGCTCTGTATGATGACAATAAAAGATCTATCTAATCTAATCTAATCTAATCTAATCTAATCTAATCTAATCTAATCTAACCTAATCTAATCTAATCTAATCTAAACAGAGTTTATTACAAAACAAAAGTACAAAACAGTCTCTGGAAAAAAACTGCATCACTTTGGGTTTCTGATGTAGGAAAAGGTCAGAGGCTGACTTTAATCTGAACCATGACTTGTCACTTTATACTATGTCAAAAATAATGCAGTACAAAAATAAATAACAGAATTAGTAAATTTCTGTAAATGTTTTGTGATTTGAAGTGTCAACATCATTCTTCTGTGGGAGTTTTTCTAAATGGTCAAATTTTGCTCTATAGTTGTTCTGCTCAGTCGGTCTAAAATATTCTTTCAGCTTCTCCAAACTGGCATCTGCAGGTAAGAAACTGACAGCTCACTAATGCTAAAAAAAATCCCACCCATAATATTAATAATTAAACACAAATATAAGACTCATTTTGTCCGACCCAACAAAGACTCTGAGTTATGAACACTTGGTTTGTAGGTCGTTTCTCTGCGAGGTGACGTACCTTTCCCTGAGCCACAAGCTCCCTTTGTGCCGCTGAAGCAGCTTTGACCAGAGCACTTGTGGCAGCTGCGATTGACTTGGCTGCCTCCAGAATTTGCTCCTCAAAGTTCAAGCTCTCATCTGCCTCCTATTTATAAGAGAGAACATAAACAATAGGCAATAAACACACTGGTTTAGGTCTATGATAAACTATAGAGGATGACAGGTAAAGGCCCTGTCACACTTTAACATTTTAGAAAACATATGCAGAATTATGAAAATTTTGTTATGACTATTTTACTCATATCAGCTATATATTTGATCTAATTGTTAGCATTACAGTATGTAGAGGTAAGTAAAAAAAAGGCTTCCGGTAGATTTTTTTTTAAATTTCACCTTAGCTTAGACAACTTTAGTGTTGGACAAACCTTTCAAAAGTTGTCTAAAACATATTGTGACAGCGCCTTAGGCTACGTTCACACTGCAGGTAAATGCGACCCATATCAGATTTTTTTCCTGACAGTCTGAACGTGACAAATACAATTTTTTCAAATCCGACCCAGGCCCTTTCAGTATGTGGTACTGAATCTGATAAATATCTGATGTTTTTCAAAGCGAGTTAAGTCTGAACGGTCGTGTTGCATTTCATCTGACTTTCACAGCTGTGAAGTGGGGCGAGCAGATCAATCCAATAATAATGATACTAATGATACTATACCTCGAGACATAAGGTTTAAATAATGCAACTCCAAAAGTCTTCAGCTACAGAAGTTCAGTAGGTTTGTCTTTGTTCTTTTTATTTTCCACGTCCTGGATGACTGAGAATTCCACATATGGAAGCCGACAGCGGCCATTTTCCGCACATTATTTTTTTACATGGTTTTCTCGTGGTAACAACATTATATGTCACTATCACAAAATAACAATGAGTTTTCTCTGGAAAATTAGTTAATTTCCCAATGGTTTCCTTGAGATAAGTTATGGTTTCCTCATTTGGCCTGGTCCCCTCAGCTGGTCACCGATGAAGTTCACTACATCATAACACAGGCAGTTTGTTTTGTGCAGATAACTTTCATATAAGCCCTCGTCCTTTAAGGAGACGGCTGGCCCGACTGCAGCTCAACAGGAATTTACACTTGAGTGATCCTGCTGATTTAATAAAAACTTCATCAGTGACCAGCTGAGGGGACTGGGCCGTCTCAACGGTTACCTTTGATGCATAAGAGCAAAACCATAATTCGTTATCTCAAGAAAACAGTCGCCGTTATTTTGTAATGACGACATACTTAACTTGTTATCCTGAGATAACAAAATAAATATGTTGTTATCTTGAGAAAACAGGAAAAAAAATGTTGAAAATGGCCGCTGCTGGCTTCCATATGCAGAAACATATGACCGTAACGTTGTCGGACCGTATCGATGCTAATGTTACTTGATCAATACTTTACTTCCAGCGTGTCACTTCATTCCAAAAAAAATAAAATAAAATTCTGCACCGGAGCATCCGGTCAGAAGCAGGTATAAACACCAAACTAAACAAACATGTCAGGTAATTATTTAATCGGCTCTGATTGCACAACAACTTTAGAATCGACATATTAACAAGTAGCACCCATGTTTAGCTAATTCTGTAAACAGTGAATTTAACATGACATCATAAAAGCTTCTCTGCATGCGGGTCACATCAGTGCTGTGTAGGGTTCACAAAGGAGTCTGGTTGCATTTAAAATGTAAAATTTTTTAATTTTTTTCCAAAAAATCTGAACTGAGCATTAAGACCTGCAGTGTGAACGTACCCTTAGAGAAAACGAAAAAATCCTGAGTATACAGAAGCACCCAGATTAACTATAAATAGAAGAAATAATAAATCAGCAGGGTAAGTTTTGAGGAGCTGGCTGATATCTAACACAGATACACTGAGTGTAACCCAGGGGTTAGGTTAACAAATTAGGTGTGAATGCTTCGGCTCTGTAAAAAGCCCTCTAACCTTGGGTTTGGTCCTCGGCCTGAGCTGCTCCAGTTTCTTGGCAGCTGCTTCGATAGCAGCCGCTGCACCCAACAGCTCGTTCTCTGCGATGACAGTAGGATCCTCGGGGTCCACCCATTCTGTTCCTACAGCAAACAAAAATAATACTGGCTCAGTCCGTGCCAAAAAACAATGTCCATCTACACTTGACTCAAAGATACTCGTGAGTCAAAAGAAAGCAGAGGCTGTGGCCTGTGTCAAATATGCTTTCAGACACTTTCCAAACTGTCATCTCCAGGGACATTAAGGGATAATAAGGTGTCTGTTTCCATCAACTTTTACATTTAAAGAGCTTTGATATTTTAGTAACTACCTTTAGTACTACCTCAGCCTTGAAGACAGCGATCTAAAAGTTATGCCTGTCAGGATTCTCCTCACTAAGTTTTTCCAGGGTGGTGCAAAGAAGCCCTGCTGATATTTACTGTACCATGGTGCCAGACATAATCCAGTTTGGAGATAATCAGTAACAGAGACACTGTGAGAATGTAGTTTAACATGGAAAGAGCTGGTCAGATTATATACAATGACTTGCAGAAGTCATTGTGTCTATAAAAAAATACATTTGTGAATAAAAAAAACCCCAAACAATTAAGAATCCCATATTGCTCAAGCAAACAAACAGTGGTGGGCAGCGCTAATTCAAAAATTAGCTTCGCAATTTCTAAAGTGCTTATGAATATATTTAGGTCCGCAACTTCAAAAATGCTTATGCCATAGATAAACTAGTGGAAGCTAATTTTAAAGCGCAAGTTTAATTTGACACTACAATATATGCACAACACTGCCAACTTGCGGTGTATGAACTCTTTTACAACTTAATCCTACAACAGCCGATTGCTGGGGATGTGATTTCATGAAACAGAACTTTGGCTCCTGGTGTAAAAATAAAAAAGTTGTTGAGGATCGCTAGTTCGGCTGATTCTTTGTCTTTTTCTTTTGTTTGTTGTAGATTTTTCATTAAAGAAGCATCAATAAAGTAATTTTAAAACTGTTTATTGGAAAACTGAAGTGATGCATTCTGGGTACATGACGGATTTGATTTGTGACGGGAAACGAAATCATGGAGTGCAGGAAACTATCTTCACTTCAAAATAAGAGCTTGGATTTTAAAGTTTCCCATGTAGTTGCTCCAATTGACCACTAGATGTCAGTCTTCATCAGCATAACATCTTTAAATCATTTCTGAATCTCTAACCCTGTTGGCCGATTGCTTCGACCAATTACGTCAAGTATTGAGCTCCAGCGTTAAAACTTTATTTTTTTTTTAAAAAGGAGCTCCAATTGTAAAGTAAAATAAATCAATACATGCAAAATTTTAGTATGGATTACAAACGTTAACTGTTTTTACTGGGACAGGGAGGTTCTAAACATTGCCTTCCTGCTACGTAAGCAGACACAAAGCATTGTGGGAAATGTCTGTAAAATGAGAACCGTGACCGAAAGCAACAGTCAGCAAGGATGTATACCTTCTCAATACATGTGTTCATCTGGGAGGGGTGCTGTTGGATAGATCACGTGTGTTGTGATTCATTGACAGTCATACCTTCTGCTGTTCAAGATAATGATGACTGGTAGATAATTAGTTATTAGCAGTACTGCATTTTAATTTTAGAAAGCACAAATCCGCTAACGAATTATAAAAATTAGTAAGACCACTAAAGCGCAAATGAAATATTTAGATCTGCAATTAGTGGATTTGCGCTTTAGCGGACTGGTGCCCACCACTGCAAACAAAGCAGACCTAATATTTGCTACAGCCTCAGATTGCCTGCCAGTGTGTTAACTGTCAGAACATACCGGTGAATAATTGAAACTTCAGCTTTGTCCATACAGTAGGGTTGGGCAATATTGACATAAACATTTATCATGTTTAATTGTGACATTTAGCCAATAACTAAATATGACAGTTAAATATAATGATTCCACTTGCATGTGGTTGACGTGTAGCCTTGGTCGGCATTTTCTGGCTTTGTTACTGCAGTTTATGTTGATGTTTCAGGTGAATAAAAAGGTTTGTAAGGTTATAGTTAGATGCTGCATACCTCACATGCACACCTGATAGATTGCTGTACACAAAAATACGTCACAGCATGGCACAAATGATAACTGTTGACAGTTTTACTGATGATTAGTTGCACATACCCTACCATACAGACAATCTTCAAAGAAATACAATATTAAAAAACAGATATTTTGTGAGCCATTTTGTTACAGGTTCAAGGCTAAGATACCTTTCATAGCCTCAGCAGCCTGGATGAGCTCAGTGACAGAACCAGCCACACGCTTGGAGTAGTTGGCCAGCTGCTGCTTCAGGTCATGAGTGGGCTTCTGGATAATCTGTGAATGAAAAAAAATAAAATAAACAGTTCAGCATCATGAAGCTGCTGCTGTTTCATTTTTGGATTTGTCTTGTGGTAACTTTTAACAAGCTATACCACTGAAACAGAAACTTCAACACAAAGCCTCTGCTTCCTGGGATAAGTAGCATAAAAACACTGATTCTGTAGAGCAGAGTTTTTATACACAGATCTGATGGTGTTACCAGATGTGGGAAAAACAGGAAGTAAAATAGAAAAAATAAACAATCATTATTTAGGCTACACATAAATTTAAAAGTGATTTTTGCTGTCTCACTTGCGCCATCAATTACGTCTGAGTGAAAGCTTTGACCAGGTTTGATTTCATTTTCCCTCTTATGCTGCAACTCAAACTGTCATCAGCTGGAGGAGTCTGAAACATTAAACGTTCTGCAGCTGGAAATGATGTTTGTGAAGAAATATGAGCCCAATCAACCACACGGGGGTGCTGTGCATGTGTCCTGATTAGTCCTGAGCTAGGCATGCATCCCTCCGTCTCATCTAACTCCAACATGCACACACACTACACTTGTATATTTGGTGCTTCTCGGTCTTCGGACATGTTAGCGTGCCTCGATGTTCCTAACAGGGAGAGGTGCGTGTTGAACATAGTTCCAGTTTTAAAATGCAGACTTGCAGGTTTACTTGTTCCTAGTATGGGATGTAGAGCTTTTAGTTATCAGGCTCCTCTCACGCCCTCTCTGCTTCTCTATGATAAAAACAATCCTTTTAGATTCGGTATAAAGTTCGGGCTGGCTTTGATTTCCCAGAACTACCGCTTTAGATGTGCTGCAATAGACTCGTACCGCTGGAGGACATCCCATAATGTCATGTCACTATTCTGTCTTTAGTCTTGTGTACAATATTTAAATGCAGTTGTTGCCGTTGTGATGGATTTTGTTTTGTTTTTCAAAGGAAGGTGTTTTTATTCCTGAACCTGGTTCTGCTGGATCTCCTCCCACAGCTTTGTGCTCGCCCTGGACAGGTGATTAATTCAAAGTGAAAATTTACCATGTGCAAACCATTCACTTCCTTTGCTAAACACATCTTTAAAAAACAGATTTTAACTAATAAACTGACTTATGCAGTATATTTGCATTAATTACCTTTACCCGTATAAGGCCCTTTGTATGTAACTGGTGCAATTTAAGTACCGTAAACAGAACTGTACATGACTACAATAAAATGTTTAACGTTTTAAATTGTATTTCAATGTAAGTTCTATTATATACAAACATATTTTAAGTGAACCTGATAAAATGTACCCTAACTTTTCCATGTCTTGGCCCCCTAAACAGCATTAGCTTCACAAACAATGCTATAAAATATGAAAGAAACATCAACTTTTAGAATGTTATTTCTCACTTTTATTGACTATGTAATAAATTTTACACTTCTTAAGCAAAAGAATTTTAGTATTGTTTTAAATGCTAAATTATATTCCCACTGACAAACCAACTTTTCAACAAACTGTTGACAATAAGAAAAGATCAAAAGAAGTCAAAGCCCTCTTAAATAACATTTCAATATATTCTTATAAATTATATTTCATAATAAAGATTGAAAAACAGATTTGATTTTATGATAATGATTTAAAACATCATTTTTTATTTTTTTCATTTTTCTTATCTTCCCTCCAGCTTTCTGAAACCCCCTTAGTGCCCTCTGGTGGCCACCACTTTGAAAAACACAGCCTTAGGACAGAGTGTCATCCCTAGCTGCTGGAGTCACATTAGTACTGTGATTCTTATTCTACTCAAACTTAATTATAATTATTTTTGTAGATAGCAACAGTAAAATTTTAGATTTATAGGGATCTCTGATTAGTAGAAATAACAGACCTTTTTTGATCATTTCAAATGCTCATAATTTACATACAGCGATGCCACAACAAATTAAGGTGTTTGAAATATATTTTATTTTAGTGGACTGTTTTATTGGACATATGTCTTGTGCTTGTAGACTCTTTATTTAGAGCTTTATGTTTTGTAAAACTGTAATAAATCAGTGACAATTATTCAACAACCACGCATCTTCAATATTTTTCTGAACAAACCTTAGAATGGGGAAAACTATGCTCATATTTGATCTACATTAACATTTACTGAACCAGTGTTTGCCCTGCAGAGGGAACACTTTAAACATCTGAGTTACTGCAGTGGACAGTAATCAAAGTTTTTATTTACATTTTTTCATGGCGACACTAGAAGTTAGTGATGCCCTGTCCTCTCTGTGAAGATGATCTCACCCTCCAAAAACCGCTCTTAATAAATCTCCCTGTTTACGGTCCCTCCTCCCAATAACGAGATGGAATTTCCACCCTTGGAGGAGAGTGATACTGACACGGCCTGGTGCGGTTTTAGACAGTGTTGATGGCATGTGGAGCGTAGGATTGGTTTGCAAAAATGTTTGTGTTAGAGGCAGGTGTCAATGTAGCGACTGTGTTTAATGCCAGGATGTGGGGTTTCCCAGCAGGACGTGATTTATGCAGTGGTTCAGACAGAACCACAAATCAGGTGTTTGGTTAAATTTCTAAATCCTTCAGCCATCAGGTCGAAGCAGTGTTGGGCAAAATACTGAACCCGAATATGTATGTGGTCAAAACCATCTCTCTAAATGCACCATGACATGGAGTCAGATAAAGAATTACTCATTTGAGTGAATCTAAGCCTAAAATTGACAGAGATAGAAAGGATCATACATGCACAGACTAAAGCTGATCCAAAACGATGCTGCTCATATTCTTAGCTACAAAGATGTTTGAATACACATTATGCCTGCTATTATTTCTCTACACTGGCTTACTAATAACAGAATTTATTGGTTCTATAAAGCTCTGTATAGCCTTGCACCACAATATGTACATGAAGAGATTTTACCTACATATAGACCAGTCAGACCACTCAGGTGTGCAGACCATAAGGATTTAGTCATACCTCATTCCTTTTCCAAATCAGGTGAAAATGTTTTATGTATTTATGCTCCAAATAAAGAGGAATGCACTGACTCTAGATCTGAGAGAAGCCTTCACTAACAGTATTTTAAGAGACATTTTAAGAACAAAAAAATGTTTTCTAGTGACGTATGATTAAATTCTATTGTTGGTCTTCTCTGTGGTTCATAGGGGGAGTTTCCTGGTTTGTGGGCGGGGTTTGTTCTAACTGTGATTGGTATAATCTGGAATATAGGCAGAGGTTCTTGAGTGGGCGGAGTTTGGCAAAACTGCATTTGGTCGGATTGACTTGTCTTGCACGTTAAAAGATGAAGTAATGTTAATGGTGGTGGTGGGCACTAGACCCCTGAAGCGCAATAGCACTAATTGCAGACCTAAATTTCACGTTTACGCTTTAGGGTTTTTGCTCAATTCTTTGAACTGTGTGTGGATTTCTGCTTTCTAAACTGAAAAAAAAAAAAAAAAAAAAAACCCAGCAGAGCTAAGTTCATTATTTATTTCATCAAGTAATGATCGTTATTGTCATTAACAGCAGAGGGAGAAAGCCGTCTCAAGTCAACACGGTGCAGAACCAGGGGTCGACATAACCATTGTTTAGGTTGTCCGAGACAAACTATTTTCATTTCGGACAACCAGGTCCCGCCTCCCAGTTGTCCGGTGGACAACCAAGAAAAAAGCAGCGGGTGTTCATCATTGTAAAAATGAATGGGAGGAAAAAAACTTGTTAAAGCCATCTAGGGATTAAACTGACGGCTCTTTCACCCAATAAAGAGAACCACAGTCAAAGTTTTACCCAATCAGAACAGAGCAGGGCGGGTCATGCTGTCTGACTGACACCGCTGCCTTTTTTCTTTCTCTGTGGGTGGGGAGTCAGCTTCACTCAGTCCAGGAAACGCTGAGAGGGTTTTCCCGGGAGGTGTTCACCTGAGCTATTTTCCACCGAGAATTACGTCGTATTTTATATTTATTATATTTCTAAAAGCACCTCGCGGAGTTCTCTGAGTCAGCTTCAGGTGCTTGTAGTTAATCATAATATCTTCTAAATTTAACCAGGTGTTTCAATGCATTTACATTACACAACAATTATAGTGGAGAAACTTGTCAGTTTGGTTAAAAAAACTGTAAAAAATAAATTGTTTTTTTTTTCTATGCAGAGAACTTCTTGTGCTATAATTTATTTAAAATAAATACATCAAAGCTCCTCAGTTGAAAACACTAAAATGACAGAAGAGCTGTTTAAATCCCCTTTATCCAGAAAGTCTCAGTCCTAAGAACACTAAACTGTAGCTTTAATAAGGTCATGTAGACAGTAGGCTATACTACTATTTAAATTAAAATGTTTGACCTGTAAGCAGGAAGCTTATGGTTGTTGGATGTTGATTTTTGCTCTCTATTTCAAAGAAGAGGATGAGGAGGAGTTTTACTCAAGAAGCTCCTGAAACTGTTAACCTGCTGACTGACAACATTTGTATACAGTAAACTTTGTATACAGAACAATATAGGGTACCTATTAAATTACATTTTAATTGAGTTTTTTTTTTGGACAACCAAAATGTTTTGCGGACAACCAGAAAAAAAAATCCTTATATCTACTCCTGAGAACCATTGTATGAAAACAGAACCCGCTCCAGCAACAACCTGTTCTCAGAAACTACACTCCAGCTGACCGTCCTTCTGGGTCTCAATTTACCCAGATTTCCCACAATTCTTTGTTTTTACGGGACAGGAAGCAGTTAAAGCTACGTCTCCGGGCGACACTCCCAGTCGCAGCCCTTCTACAGCGACGCAACTGTTGCGGTTTGGGCCAAATGTGTCTCCAGGTTTCAAATGCGCAGAGCCACACAGAACCGCACACACCATGCAGTTTGTATCTCCACTCCGATGGGTGTGGGTAGGAGTTACATATGCAAACTTGGGAAAGGCAGAACTTCCTAGAGGGAGGTGAAGGACACAAAGGCGAGCAGATATCGGAACAAACCGGTTGCCCACAATTACACAAGCACTTATAAATAAATAAATAAATAAGTAAATAAATAAATAAATGATCGGTAAAACCTCATGGCTTTTCTTGTTTTTTTAAACACAACCGTGTTGTGGAATCTTTTACTGAACGCAAGCACTTTAGAACTTGCGCGACTAACTTTTGGATTAGCACTGCTTTATAACTTCTTCAAACCCCACCCAAAATAGTCAGTCCGACCAATCACGTCTTTAACAAACTCCTCCCACACACCAAGAACCTCCCACCTAGTGACTGCAGAGACTCTCTTCTCTTTCTTCATGTATTAAAGGGGCAGTATCATGTAAAATCAACTTTTTTGAGTTTCATATCATTTTATATTATATTGTCATAAAAAAAACATGCCCAAAGCCTTGCTCTGACTCATTCATGCATGTTTGAGAAATCCTGCAGTGTTTTTAGGAAGCCATGCTGAGGAGCACAACGACAGGTGGGGACCAGAAACTCCCCTGGGACGTGTCTTTAAGCCAAACTTCCTCATCACGGAGCACATCTCCCCACCCCCCACCCCACACACCCCGCCCATGACTCCTGTAGGCTCTCGGCAGGAACAGAGTAAAGTGAAAGTGAAAAACTGTCTGCAGCTCTCAACACTACTTCTCACTCAGTGAAGCTCTTTTCAGATTCAAACTACGTTTGAGGAAATGTATTTTCAGATGCCAAGTAAACTGCATCATACCATAAGCGTGAACCCCCCAGCACCGAACGGGACGGGACAGAAGCAGAAGTTGGTTCTTAAAGAGACAGACGCCAATTTCAAGGCATTTAGAAGAGGAAGTGATGAGAAGACAAGTTTATTTTCTATTTAAACATAAAAACAACATTTTAATAACAACTAAAGGTGACATAGATACTTTATTATGGTATAGTATTTAAATATATGCCTGAGAAACACATAATATTGCCCCTTTAAGACAAGATAATATAAAAGTTTAGTGTCATTGTTGCACTGTGAAGAACACCGCAGGCCACAATAAACAACGAAATAACTTTGCAGCTCCCATAGTGCAAATAAATCAGAGCATTACAGCATTAGCTTTTTGAAATAAAGCTTTTACAATGTTCTTTTTTATGTATAAGTGTAAAAGTGTTTCGGTTGAATTTTTTTATAAACTTTTTTTTTGTTTTTAAATTTAAAATTTTACGTTTTGTTTTTTCTTATTCGTCCCAAGTTTCAGTTTTAATCAAAACAAGTTTGGTTTGATTGACTCTGAGTCAGGAACACCGTGACATCATGCTGCAAGAAGACAGGATGCATTTCACATGGCAGCCGACATGCACTGCCATCTGAGTGACAATAACAGCAGAGCAGCTTGATACGGTGGCTCTGAGGGATGACCGATGACCTTCCACTGTCCTGGTCAGACAGAAAATATTCAGGTTGGAGCAGTGTGCGACAGGTGCAGGGAATTAACAGGGCTCAGCCCCATACCCAGCTCATCTTTATTCAGCAGTGATGTCAGAAAAAGACTGATGTTACACCAGAGGAACGCATACAGGGTGGGGGGGACTAATCCTGCCCCCAGCCTCCGACTGCACAACAACAGTCTGACATTACCACGTGGTCAGAACATTTCTGAAACAAAACAGAAATATGTTGCTTCAACAGCATCACTCACAAAAACAAACACTGATCAGCTCTATTAAAGGTGAGGGGCTATTAAAGGGTTTAAAGCTCAATGTTCCAAGTTTTTATTTAATGAGGAAAAATAATCAAATAAGCATCATCATGCATTTGTTAGTGGTAATACTAACAAACAGTATTTCCTTAATTTTCCACCTCCAATCAAATCTAAAATCACAAGACAATAGTAAATAAACTCTGACTACATTTAAACAACTGATGCATTATGCGTTGATGGTGTGATATGATGTACTCAGCGTACTATTCAAACAATGCAGCACCACACTTGTGCACGTCAGACAGGCAGCATACTCACCGGCTAGCACCGACACCAATAAGCCACGAGTTTTAAAATAATATTGGCAAACCATTGAGGGGGGAAAAGAAGAGAAAATATAAAGTCAAAGATTTTACCTGTGACGATATTTTGGACACAACTGTGTTTGATTGTGTGTCTCAGAGACATCAGTGATGTCAGATGAAGAAAAAAGATGGACACAAACTGTCCTAATTGAAAGTGAAAGAAGCAGTAACTGGATTCAGACCGATTTATAATACAGTTTTAAAATATAATCTACCTGAGGATTGGTAGGTCCTACAAACACCCCAGTCCCACCCTTCTTGATCTCAATATATTTTCTACTGAAAAGACCTGATCAGATTTTTATATGATACAACATTTTTCTATAAGTAGAAGATTTTTTTTTCCTTTGCAGTAAACTCTGACTTGCTCTACACCTGTATAAGGAGGATATTTGCATATATTTACAACTCTGCTCCTTATACTGTAAAAACAAACAACAAAGCTGTAAAAAAAACACATCATGGAACCCAAAATTCCTGTATTTTAATGATTTCTCCTTAAGACCCAAATCGGACCCTGTAGAAAATGAAATGATATCTCACCACCAACACATGCTCCAGCAGCCCCAGATATCCAGAGGCACATTCGTTGCCGTAACGCAAAGCTCGCATCTGGACGTCTCGATGGACATCTGGATGGTACGCAGCCTCCTGCAGGACAAACAGAGGGACAATGTCTTAAATAAACAGGAAGAGGACACAAGTTAAGCTAGTGTACAATACCTAACATGAATTTTGTTGTAAATTGTTAACATACAAAGACTTGGTGTGGTGGATCAGTACAAGCACCTTGCGTCAAGTCTTATCTTTAGGCAACATATTAAAAAGACTACTCGTAATACAATTCAGCTTGCCATATTTTGTCACATTATGCCTTTTCTCACTTCACAGGCAGCGAAAACTTATGTGATTGTAAGGGTTTCTTGTCATACATCTTATTGTCTCACAACTTGGTGCCATAGAACATAAAGGGCCGGTTTAGCAGGCAAGGCTTAAAGTGACCATGACATCATATTTTTGTAAGAAATATGAATGCATTTTTGGAAAGACAACATTAATAGCATAATAGAAAACAATTTTCACGCTGCTGGGATGATATGTTGATGAGATATTTGCATGTAAAATAACAGGAAGTGACGTCAAAGGGGAATGTCTGCATGTGAACGGAGCGTTTTTAAAATGGCTAACGACACAAATTGTAGAGAAGAATCTGATATTTCTTTAAATTATTTTGAGTCACTATCAGGGACAGATGAAGAGGAGTTAGAGTTTAAATAATATTTTAATAAACAAAGACTAGAGAGTTCCTTTTCTTAAACAGTTCCCCTTTGATGTCACTTCCTGTTTCACTTTGGCTGAGACAAGTTCAAAAGAAAATATGCCAGTTATGTTACAAAATGGGCAAAATTGTGTGTATTATGTCAGGTTTCTTAAATATAAAGATGTTTTCTTTGACTTTTTGTGTTTGAAGAATATGCATGTCACAGGCACTTTAAGGCTAGTTCCAGATTAAAATGCTGTTTGAGCTGGTTTTACTGTAAGTCCATTGCACAGTCTTGTCTTAAAATAGTCACAGAGTTAGTCTATTCTGTATTCTGCCAATTACAGGAAGGTGGATCAGATATACTCTGTGACTAAATTAAAGCAGCTTAAATAAATAAGGGACCATAGAATTACTGTATTTATTCGTGTATAATATGACCCCCCCCCCCTTTTTTTTTGAACTTAAAAAGCATAAAAAGTTTAATCCTCAAACTACCTCCAATTTCATACAGACTTCAAGATTTTTCAGCCTTTGCAGTCTTTATACATATCAGTAAAATGATCATTGGACTGTTCATTTTATTTAACAACATACAGTACTTGAATAAATACGGTACATTTTAGCTGATGAGAGCTTTAAAGTGCAGCAGGTCAGATCATCACCAAGGACCTCATGTATAAACGGTGCGTACTCATAAAAAAGTTGTGCGCCAGGTTCTACGCCCACGTTGGGA